GGGCTGCCCTCGTCGGCTGTTGGCCAGTATGCTTTTGCGCGTTCAGGGACATGGTCGAGCGACGCGTAGTATGCCGCGCCTTCGTCGATGGTACCTCGAAGGTCGAAACAGTGCGCGCGCGCCGGAAGCTGGAGCCGCTCATCGAGCGCCTGCACGAGCGCCTGCACGAGCGCCTGCACGAGCGCCTGCACAAGCGCCTGCACAAGCGCCTACATGAGCGCCTACATGAGCGCTGGCTCCAGTCGTCGCCGGCGCATGCGGTAGGTCAAGGAGCGCCGGACGCCCTCGGCGGGCACTGCACGTTGGAAGAAGGTAGCGTCCCTGTGTCACGAGTTTGCAGGAAGCGTCGGCCATACACCTGCGCTCCCAAGGTCTGATGAGAACGAATCCCTCACCTACGAGCGCTGCGTTCCCAACGATGAGGAGCGCTATGCTACTGCCATCCTCGGTTGTCAGGGCATTCTGTCGGCCGCTTCCAAGCAGAGTAGTGGCACACAGGCTTGCGATGCACTGCTGGAGAACGTAGAGGCATACTAGTACCGTCTTGCATCAGGCGCTGGAGACGTCGACCTGGAGACCTTCGGCGTGCCAGCGCGGGCGCCCAACGTTTTTCGTTTGCACCATGCGCCAGTCTCAGGCCACGCAAGATATCGTGCGAGCTTCACCTCGTCGTCGTCGACGCAGATGAGCTGATTGCACGGAGCACGATCGCAAAGCACTAAAAGACTTTAGAACTAAAGACCAACCGCTGCTGCGCTCGTGCGGCGCTTCGCGCAAAAAAATGTGTTTATTCACAAAAATGTCGATTCCTAGTATTAATAGAATACTAGTATAGGTATAGTAATTAGCATCTATCTATCTATCTATCTATCTATCTATCTATCTATCTATCTATCTATCTATCTATCTATCTATCTATCTATCTATCTATCTATCTATCTATCTATCTAGAATCCGAGGACTGAAAAGCGGATGTAGGTTCGAGAGACATATGACGTGGTTCGTGAACACTTTGGCGGCGTGAGGCAACCAAGCGCGCATGATATGGATATGCCTATTATACATTCTCATACACTAGGGGAAGTCAGACATCTCTGCTTTTTGCTTCTGCTTCTAGTTTGTCATCGCAACCGGATACGGATAACGAGGAAAAGCAGAAGCAAGAAAATTGCCAAAAGGAAGTCAGAGTTGCCGACAACGAAGCTGCTTCTACCGGTACTCTTAACCAGCGACGTCCGCATAACTGCGAGTGACTGAGAAACGTCGTCATTTGAATATGCCGCGGGTGTCCGAGCGCGGTAGACTCTTGAAGGAGCCAACGAAGCTCATCGAGTCCCTCGTCCTCGACCGCGCACCCGATCGCGACATCCGGCGGCTCGTCGACATCAAGATGCTCATAATCTCGTCGCGCTATCTGTCGCAACGGTCGCTCGCCGAGAAGTCTCACGAGCACCTCTTGAGCCTGCCGTCGATGCGAGACAGCGAGTTCCTCTAAGAGCTTCGTGTGACGAAGCGAACATTCTTGTACATCCTCCGGCGCATCGAGCACCAAGTCGTCTTCTCCAACGAGTCGTCCAACTCCCAGGTCCTGTGTGGGTTCAGCTCGCGTGCGCGCTTCATCGACTCGGCCACAGCGCCGCCGGTGCCAGCACTGCCTGGCCCGTCATGATGGCGAAGTTGGCCGGGTCCTGGAGGAAGCCGACCATCGCATCGTACTCGGCTTGTGTCGTCGCCCGACGCATGGCTTCACCGCTCGAGCGCACAAGTCGAAATGGGAGGCCCACTAGCGTCATAAAATAGACGGTGCCTAATGAATTGTGAGTGATTGGAATTTAACGGACAGGCCTCCGTGAAAATCCCTTGGCATCTGATTGGCCAAGAAGCCTCCATGACGTGGCAACGTGTTCAGGCAGTATTGTGCAGAGTACTAAGGAAGCTCGCTATGATGAAGACATCACAGACATAAGCATGTAAACTTAAAAGTGTTAATCACCTCTATACAAATGAGTATTACCTGCCTTGGATGGCCGGCAAAGGAGGTTGTAAATGCTGGAAATCTTCAGCTGCGATGTGCGACGTGTGCAATTCTTCTCCGTTTGGGCGCTGATACGATCGAGGGCGCCTTTTACTTGTTCTAACGCCGCGTCCGCGTCGTCACTCGAGGCAATCTTTGGCAAAGGTCGCTGCATCGTGGTCTCGTAGTACTTGACCAACGTGTTCATGACGCACTTCCATTCTGAGAGCCGCTTGCGCTTCGTTGTGCATTCGATTTGTGCAGGCGCAATGCATCGGTACGGAGCTTGATTCTGTGTGGCATTGTC